GTTTTGGTAGACTGCAACCCAGTAATGGGATTTGCTGGATCAAATGTAGATCTACTTGTATCTCCGTTTAAGCATCCTCCATATTGCTTTCCCACCCAGAGGTGCCACTAGTTTGCATTCCCACCAGCAGTGTAGGACCGCAATTCCCCTGTCTCATCCCCACACCTCCACGTTACATTTAGTTTGTTTTTGATAAGGCCATTCTCACTGAGATATGTTTCATGGTGGTTTTGTTTTGTTTGATGATTGTGTTATTTTTTCTTGTTTTGGTTTTTGTCTCTTTGAAAAGTTTCTGTTCATGTCTTTGCCACTTTTTGATAGAGGTTATAATTTTTCTTTGCTGATCTTTCCTGAGCCACCATGATTTTAGTTATCAGCTCTTTATCTGATGTGTAGACTCGCGAAAATTTTCTCCCATTCTGGTAGGCTGTCTGTTTGCTCTTGTGACAGTTTTTTTGTGTGCAGGAGCTTTTTATTAATTTGCATCAGGTCCCATTTATCTTTATTTTTGATTGTTGCTGTGATTGCCTGGGTGTCATCTTATAAAATCTTATTCGTAGGCCAAATGTCTAGAAGAGTATCTTCCAGTTTTCCCTCGTAAGAATTCTAGTAGTTTCCACACTTGAGGTTTAACGTGTGTTACCCGGGCGTGAGTTAATTTTTGTGAGGGGTGAAGGGTGTGGATCCTGTTTGAAACAATTTTTATTAATAATTTTGTTACATTGAAAGCATGTAGAATCGATGAGGTTTTTTTTCTAAATCTGTCATGGTTCTCCTGCCACTTATTGACTACTATTTAATGAAAAAGTTTCGTCATCAACCCAGAATAGACCCAGTTTCTGTTAGGACCAAGATACGCTAATTTCTTAAATTTTTCTTAATGACCTTCCCTTCACAGTGTAAGGAATTGTTTAATACTTCCAGTTGTGGGAAATGAGTTTCGATTGAATTCCCCATAATCTGAAATACTTGGAACCAAGAAGTGTTTCAGATTTCAGATTTTTTGTATTTTGGAATATATAATATACTATATGCATGCATAATGATTTATCTTGCAGAATGGCGACTCGAACTGTAACATGAAATTTATTTGTTTCATATATTAAGCCTTACACACCTAACCTGAAGGGTAAATTTTTAATACCAATACCTTTAAAATAACTTTATGCATGACATTAAGTTTTTGACTATAACCCTGCTCAGCATGAGGTCAAGTGTGAATTTTCATTTGTGGCATCAG